TATTTTCAAAATATACCAGGCGAATGTCCATTTTGGCAATATTTACTGTTTAAATGTTGACTTTTATTGGGAGATATCTTTAAAACACTATTTTGTCCATACAACCAAGTTCCAAATAACAAAACATTGAAATTTTGATAAAAACAGTGAATGTGAACAACATTCCTGTCACCAAAAGCACACCCATTCTTTACAGGCCTGTAGATTGACAAAGTTCCGACTTGAGCAGACCTTTCATTTGGTACTCTGCATGACTATGTATCTCCCACAGGTTGGCCAGAAAAAGGCGAAAAACACTCATATCCAACATTAACCAAAAATACCTCCTCTATCAGACTGTCTGTGGCTGCAGCAGGCCTCTTCATACCTGAGAGTGTCCAGTCTGCAGTGTGGATCCTCCAGTCCAGCAGACAGCAGCTTCACTCCTGAGTCTCCTGGATGATTGTAGCTCAGGTCCAGGTCTCTCAGTGGGGGGTTGGAGCTCAGAGCTGAGGCCAGAGAAGCACAGCCTTCTTCTGTGATCAGACAGCCTGACAGCCTGCAAACATACAAAACAACAAAACATGAACCCTCTGTGAACAAGAGGCAGTAAAGTTTTTCTGTTTGTTAGTTTTTTGTTCAGGTACATTTTTGTTCAGATGAAAATTTAAAACAAATCTTTAAAATAATTTGTGTCTATTTAATATAACAGCAAACACAAAACAACGAACAACAGAAGATCACAATAAATTTTAATGTAAAGTAATTCTCTGAGTCTAGAAACAACTGCCAAAGTTCAGGTTAAGGTCCTTGACAAGTCATATTAGCAGACAATACTACACAAGTTAGCTGTTTATCCACTTATGTGAATCAGTTTTTAAATAGCCATCAATTGAGTGGGTTAATCAATCCCAACCTGAGCGTTTCCAAAGTACAATGTGGACTCTCCAGTCCAGCACACAGCAGCTTCACTCCTGAATCCTGCAGGTTGTTGTTACTCAGGTCCAGCTCTCTCAGACTAGAGGACTGGGAGCTGAGAACTGAGCACAGAGCTTCACAGCTTCTCTCTGAGAGGTTACAGCCACTCAGTCTGGAGAAGAAATACCATTTGTTTTAAAATGTTGAGTCTCAAAACTACACTGTATAATCTCTTCTCAGCACATGTTAAAATCTTTGCTGTTTGACTTTGAACATGTTGGAGATGTGGCAACTAATCTTGACTGAATGAGGAATAAACAGACGACCAGTGGAACTGTAACCCTAGCTCTCAAAGAAGAGGAGTCACTGCGCATGTGTGTAGTGGCAGAGGAGGAACTAGGCCCAGACGATTTACCTAAATCAAAATCACGATTAATTAACATTTCACCTGGATTACGATCATTGGAGATTATTTTGTTTTGAATGTTTTTTTGCTCTCATATTTCATATGCTCTACTATTAAAGCTTGGGTTCATTTATTCACAGATTTCACAAATCCATTAGGCTATCTAAATATTAATTAATAAGGTAATATAAACGTGCACATTTTTGAGAGCTGCTACTAAAACTTCACTCGATTATTAAAATCAATGCAGAACACATGATTTTCCCCGCACACGGTGTGAGCACGGTAAATCAGGCTTTGCTAGCTTCTTTTCCTCATCATCAAATGACATCTACGTGACAGGTGTTGTTATAAGAGCAGCGGAGTCACATATTGAACTGCAGTGTGTTTGGGTAGCGAGTGAGTGTCAGAGAGCGAGCGGCTGAAAGCGAGAGTAAGTTCTCAGTCTGGCAGTAAATGTACAGTGTAGGTCACAGTGTGTTCCTTAATAAAAGTCTGTCTGGGTTTCCACAACAGCTGGAAAGTGAAGTTTTACTTTTCAATTAATTGTCCAGCCCTTGGAGGAACTTCCTTTAGAGAAGAAGACCCTGCTTTACTGGTGTTGTGCAGAGTTGTCTTCACCTCGCGGGACATTCGGATCATTTATCACCATTGATGAACCACACAAAGATTATTATATCAGTTTTAGACAGTTACTTGAAATGGAGCCGCAATGAACCGCGATGTGCGGCACGCAAAACTCTGCACAAGACCGGTGAATAGCAGGCGAGCAGAGAGAAAATGATCAACAATAAGCCTCAGTTTATTTGTAGTTTAGAGTGTAAGTTACAGTGACTATTAAATAGAGACTGCAGCTCTGCAGCTTCTCAAGATTAAACCGTGTGTAACCCTCGCTGCTCACAATCACCCTGCACAAGCACGTACATGATTCGACTATAGGCAGGACTTGACAATTCTGATTCGGCTATATATAGTTCATATTTCATTCTGAACAATATCTGAATTACAACAAAATGCAAGCTACACATGATCACAGCTACTATCTGAGTGGTTATACAGACTCAGGCTGGCGAGACATCACTAACTAAATAAATAAGGTATTTATTTTTTCCTCCTGTTGAAAGATAGCAGAGTATTTATTGATGAATAAATCTCACTTACAGAACTTTCTTGGAGGCTCTGACCACTGGCAGCAGCCTCAGAAGAGCCTCCTGAAGCAGAGAATTCTTCAGGTCAAACACGTCCAGATCTTTTTCTGAAGACAGTAAGATGAAGACCAGAGCTGACCACTGAGCAGGAGAGAGTTTATCTGTGGAGAGTTCCTGAACTCAGGACTGTTGGATCGCTCCACTAGAGAATGATCATTCAGTTCATTCAGACAGTGGAACAGATTGATGCTTCTCTCTGCAGAGGGATCTCTTCGATCTTCTTCTTGATGTACTTGACTGTTACCTGATTGGTCTCTGACTACTTCCTGTCTGTGTCAGCAGACCTCGTAGGAGAGTCTGATTGGTCCGCAGTGAAATCCCAGGAGGAAGCGGAGGAACAAGTCCAGGTGTCCATTTGGACTCTGTAAGGCCTGGTCCACTGCACTCTGGTAGAACTGTGTCACTGCAGATTCATCTTTTCTTGTTTCAGATTTCTGGGAGGTTGGTTGTTCTTCTGCCAGCAGATTGACACCAGAGTTGATGAAGGTCAGATGGACATGAAGAGCAGCCAGAAACTCCTGAACACTCAGATGGACGAAGCAGAAGACCTTGTCCTGGTACAGCCCTCTCTCCTCTATAAAGATCTGTGTGAACACTCCTGAGTACACTGAGGCTGCTCTGATATCGATGCCACACTCTGTCAGGTCTGATTCATAGAAGATCAGGTTGCCTTTCTGCAGCTGCTCAAAAGCCAGTTTTCCCATAGACTCAATCATCTTCCTGCTCTCTGGACTCCAGTGTGGATCTGTCTCAGCTCCTCCATCATACTTGATGTTCTTCAGTTTGGACTGAACCACCAGGAAGTGGATGTACATCTCAGTCAGGGTCTTGGGCAGCTCTCCTCCCTCTCTGGTCTTCAACACCTCCTCCAGAACTGTAGCAGTGATCCAGCAGAAGACTGGGATGTGGCACATGATGTGGAGGCTTCGTGATGTCTTGATGTGGGAGATTTCTGCTGGCCTGCTCCTCATCTCTGAACCTCTTCCTGAAGTACCTCCTTCTGTGGATCATGAACCCTCTGACCTCTGTCACCATGTCAACACACCCAGGAGGGATCTGATTGGCTGCTGCAGGTCGTGTGGTTATCCAGAGGCAGCAGAGGGAAGCAGGTTCCCCCTGATGAGGTTTGTCAGCAGCACATCCACTGAGGTGGACTCTGTAACATCAGTCAGGACCTCATTGTTTGGAAGTCCAGAGGAAGTCGACACTCATCCAGACCGTCAAAGATGAACAAAACCTGGAACTCCTCAAAGCTGCAGATTCCTGCTTCTTTGGTTTCAGGAAAGAAGTGATGAACAAGTTCCACCAAGCTGTACTTTTTCTCTTTCAGCACATTCAGCTCTCTGAAAGTGAATGGAAATATGAACTGTATGTCCTGGTTGGCTTCGTCTTCAGCCCAGTCCAGAGTGAACTTCTGTGTTAAGACTGTTTTCCCAATGCCAGCCACTCCCTTTGTCATCACTGTTCTGATTGGTTCATCTCTTCCAGTGAGCTTTAAAGATGTCTTCTGTGTGATGA